GCCTTCTGGACCTGTGTCCATGATGGCTCTCCCTACTCTAGCCAAACCCAAACTTCCCTGTCCTGATCATCCCTCCTGTGTTTGTTTCTTCTTCCACAGATAGTTTTCAGGAAAGCCTGAAATCTGAGAAATAGAAAGCAGAGCATCGGGGATTGGTTGGAAGCAGATCACACCTTTAGAGGCTGCAGAGGGGATCCAGGAAGCACAGGAAATGTGAAAGAAGCCAAGGGGCTTGAGGGATGCTGACCTGTTCATTGGTGTCCGAGCCAGGAGTGGGACCTTATATCAATTCCCAGCACCTCACTAATTTTTCTAGAAAGTTGGTATGGTACAGTGTTACTGGGGCCAGTGCCCTGGCATAGTAGGCTAAGCTTCCTCCCGTAGCAGCAGCATCCCATGTCAGGGTTGGTCTGTGACCTGCTGCTTCACTTCCCATTCAGTTTCCTACTTGTGCCCTGAAGAAGTAGTAGAGGATGGTCCAAAGCCTTGGACCCATGCACCCATGTGGCAGACCCAGATGAAGCTCCTGGCTCCTTACTTCAGATAGGCTCAGCTCTGGCCATTGAGGCTATTTGGGGAAGTGAACAGTGGATAGAAGACCTCTGTCTCTCCTTCTCTGTAAATTTATGTTTCAAATAAAAATAGAATTAAAAAATGAAAAATTGAACAGTTACTTTATTACTACCTCATCATTGTAGAGAATAAGATGGAAATACAAAGCACTTAAAGTAGTTTCCTGTGAAAGACTAGCTTAGGAGCAGTATTTTTAAATGTGCGCTCTGCTTACTTTCCCCCCGTATGCTGTGCTAGCTGGCCAAGTTCTCTGTGACCTGGATTAGATGCAATTGTATTGCTCATTTATATCTGCTGTGCTGTTGGACTCTCCCAAGAACACTTTAGAGTTCAAGGGGAGCGGCATACGCTTGAGGTTAATGCTTTCCCACTTCAAGGTTGGGCTATCAAGGCAGATATGTTAACTGGAGAGTAACGAGAATGCTGGAAATTTGATAGTTGGGGGAGATTACCACACCAAGCCATCTTCCAGGAGAGAACAAAAATTAAATTATTCATTCAGATATAGGGAACTGGGGAAGCCTTGGAAAATACTGGGCACACGACCTGACAAAGTGAGGTGACGGGGCAGAGGAGCTTGAATTGGCAGCACAGTGACCAAGACAGAAGGAAAATCGAGGAAGTTGATGCTTCCTCTACATCCTGCCCCTGTCCCCCTCTGTCCTGCCGATGCTTCTCCTGCCATGTGCTGGACAACGTACTGGGCTCTTCCACGCATGAGATCATTTAATACTCACAACCTCTTGAGGTGGTTACTATCACCCCAAAAGGTAGAAAATGTAGCTCCAAGATATTAAGTAACCAGTTCAGAGCTGAAGGAAGTAGAGCCATCTTCCATGCTGAGGCTTTTCTTTCTTTCTTTTTAATATGTATTTATTTTTAGTGGAAAGGCAGATTTACAAAGAGAAGGAGAGACAGAGAGTAGATCCTTCATCTGCTGGTTCACTCCCAAATGGCCGAAATGGCCAGTGCTGAGCTAATCTGAAACCAGGAGCTTTTTCTGGATCTCCCACATGGGTGCAAGGTTCCCAAGGCACTGAACAATTCTCTACTTCTTTCCCAGGCCACAAGCAGAGAGCTGGATGGGACATAGAGCAGCAAGACATGAACTGGAGCCTTTATGGGATGCCAGCACTGGTAGGCAGAAGATTAGCCAGGTGAGCCATCACTTCAGCCTCACCTGCTGAGGTTGTCCAAATCTGACTCCATTAACCTTTGCTACATTGAAAACTACCCCAGAAGTCACCGGCTTAAGAAACAAGAGGAAAGTGGGGAGGGAGGGAGGAAGAGGGGTGGGGAGATGCTATTTAGCTTTGGCAGAGTCACTGTCACAATTCCCCTTCCCAGGGACTGACACTGAAATGACTCTATATTCTAGGCTTAACAGAGAATGCTGGATTACAGGGATGGCTGACCTGGGGTTAAACATTGACCCAGTAGAGACCTGCACATGGATGTCAATGGCTAACAACCAACATCAGTTGGTCTGCCCACCCTTCTCTCACATCTTCTGGCAAAACACTGGTAAGAACCATTCACGCTGAGGGATAAGAGATGCCCAGTGGGCAGTGCAGAGTGGAGAAGAGCTGATGGCTTGGGCCTCCGTTCTCGGTTGGTGATTGGGTCCACCCATGGCCTTGGAACATCACGTCACAAATGACAGCCTGCAGTGTAGACCATTGCCCTGGCCCTCCTCAGGCTTCTCTGGATCAACCAAGCACACACAGGGAAGACCCTCACTGTCTCAACAAACACAGTCCAAAGAATTCATGCCTGGGGCAAGCCTGGGGAAGTGAAGGGAAACACCGAGGCTGAAAAGCCTCCATTCTAGACCCTTCTCTGCTATGGCCTCCCTGTGAAAACTTGGGCAAGTCAACTACCCTGCCTGCAGTTTTTCCTTGTTTTCATGGCCGACAACGCTTGGTTCTGAGAGCCAGAGCACTTATCTGTTGCTGAATCATGAGTACGCATGAGATGCCAGCTTCTGTCTACATTATCCCTAATCTTTATAACCTGCTTAAGGAGTGACTACAATTAGCCCCAGAAACACTCAATAGCACGGCCAAGGTCCCCTGACTAGCAGGTGGTAGGACTTGGATGTGAACCCAGAGCAGCCCAGGTCCAGAGCCTGCGCTCTTGCCATAGACTGCGGTGTCCGCCATGTTCGATGCCTCGTGGCCTGTGCTCTTCCTCAGCCATATGTACACGATGACTCTTCCTCACTTAGATTATACTCTCCTGGGGAGCCCCTCAAAGCTCCCCCAGCAAGCACAGGATACACCTAAATGTCTCCAGTTTCCCTCGATCTCGGAGTTGTCACAGTGTAGATGAATGTGGTAGCAGAAAAATAATCCCTCCTACCACAAATGTCTATATCCCCATCCCTGGGACCTATAAATGTAACCTTGTCTGCAAAGGAGTCTTTGTCAGTGGGATCCTGCTCAGGATTTGGGGGATAACATTGTTCTTGCAGGCCCTCGGAGCTATCGCAAATAACCTATCAGAAAGACAAGAGAGAAGGTGGTGGGAGCTCAAAAGATGGAGACTGGGGACTCCCACCTCCAAGAACTCCAAGGGACGCCTGAAACTAGGGAGCAGAAACTAGAGCTGGAAGCTGGGTTCTCTTGTAGCTGGAAACTGGTGTCTGGATTTCCCGTCTTGGGCCTCCAGAGCTGAGAAAATGATCAATGCACTTCTGTTGCCCGAAGCCACCAGGGTTGGTACCAGTTGTGACAGCAGGCATGGGGCAAGAATACAATTAAAACAAAGGCTCCCAGTACTCAAAGGACTTGGGGAACCATGTTGGCCCTGTCTCCTTGCTTGTCAGATGCAGAGCCTGCACCCCTAGCCAGAAGGAGTGGTTAGGCTATGGTCACTCTGTAAGCTAGAGGCTGAATCGGGACCAGGACATCAATGTGCTGATCCTGAAGCTCCCCCACCCTCACCTGGCATGAGTCCTAGAGTCTTAAGAAACAACCAAGAATCTAGTCCCTTTCTTACCCATGTTCTTGGATTATTACTGGAAAGGCTGAGTTGCAGGGGCTATTTTAGGAACACAGGGTTTCAGGCTAGGGAACAGCCATGGGAGAAGGGAAGCTGGTGGTTCCAATTACATCCAGTGCACAGCTCAGCTCAAAAGTAGGGCATGGGATGTGGACTTCCTTTCTCTTCCCTCAGCCCCACTTCTCAGTTCCCCTCTTTGCCTATGTTAGATGCACAGGACACACAGCCTTTGTGTGTGCGTGCGTGCTTGTGTGTGTGCGTGCGTATACTCGGGGAACTAACATGGCCTACTAAGACACTTTGGGGTTCTCCTAGATCATGTAGCAGAACAGGATCCAGTGAAGGACTCGCCATCACCGGGTAGCAGTGTGCAGAGGGAGCTTGCAAGGAGCCAGAGACTATGGCACACTCCTCTTCCTTCTTTCCTCCTTCCCTTCATCCCCACAAGCCTTTGCTGACATGTTTCTTACGCCCATCTTCAGGAAGCTGCTATTGTTAAGTCCTGCTCCAGGCCTCTCAACCAGGCACAAGCTGTTCCCTGCTGTGGAGGGAAGTGAAATCCCTAGAAATAAGACAATAAATCCAACTGCCTTGCTCACTGTGTTCTGAGGGAGACACAGGTAGGATGGAAACTCACTCCTCTCCATTTCCCTCACACCTGCCCACGAAGGAGCGACTCTGGGAGGAGAAAAACTGCCAAGGACGTCGTGACCCATGTATCCCTGTGCCTCCGGGCCGGCTGAGTAAGCCGATTCCCGGGTGCAAGAGAGGAGTGAGGATAAGCTATGATTGCAGATTGGAGATTCCAAAGCAAGAGGGCTGGCTGCTCCTGGCTTGCCCAGCGGAGGGTAGGTGGGCCTCACTCCCGCCTATATCCCTTGTACCTCTAATTATCAAGGAGTATCAGCACAGTTATGGAGAACTGGGCTGTCCTACACACCCAAAGACCTCAGAGAGTGACCTTGAACATGTAAAGGACAAGAACAGACTGAGGGGGCCTAGTCACAATGACGGTGAGGGCGCACAGCAGGCCCTGGATCCCTCTTGCAGAAGTAGGGATGAAGGCCCATGGACCTGGCTGTACAAACACAACCCAGACAGAGAACCACGGCCTGCTGGGGTGCATGGCCTGCCTGCACCCTGGGGCCAGGGCCTGACTCAGAGAACGGCCCATTCTGACCCACTGCCACAGCAAGAACACTGGCCACCCCTCACCAAGGCCAATCTCCCCACACACAGTGTGGACCCCGGAGGGGTGGAAGGGCACAAAAAAATAAAGACAATACAGAAGGAGACTGAATTTTCCAACAGAATTCCAGTGACTCGGCTGCCTTTGTGTTAGAACGAGCTGGCCCGGAAGTGACTAGGCAAAATAAAATGAGAAGAAAGTTACTCACGCCACTGGCTTGCAGAGTCAGGGTCTGAAATGAAGCTTCATAACAGAAAAATGGGGTGGCTCTTCTTGCCATGCCGATCTGTACCCCAGGCGACAGTGGGCTGTCCCCTCAGCCCCAGGCTCGTGGCTGCTCCATGTCTCTCGGCAGCCCGTTCCTCCTTTTGTCCTTCCTCTTCTGGGGTTTGGGCTGCAAGACTCAATAAAGAGATCCTGGATCAGCTCTGTGCAGGTAGGATGGAGCAGGATCCTCGTGTGTGTGTGAGGATGGGGGGACGTGTGTATGTGCATATGTGTGTGAGAGAGAGGGAGACGAAGGTGGGGAATGAACTTCCTCGGTGTGGCACCGAACAGCTACAACCATTGGACGAACACCTGGGAGTCCCCACCGGGACTTGTCGTGGGAAACCACCATGAACTAACTGAGGCAGGGACATGAGGGGTGACCCCTGCCCAGCAGGCTGGTGGAGGCCAGGGATCTCAGGGCTGTGGGACCGAGTCCAGACCCTCACAACGCTCTGATGCCAGCTCATTTCAGCAGAGCCCAGATGCAACCAAAACTCTCTAATTCCTTCAAGAGGTGAATCTTCAAGAGCTTTGGTCCTCCAAGTTCCTAAAAGTTCTGCCATTCCATTTCTAGAAATTTCTGAAAGCTCTAGGACCAGGAGGACTTTGTAGAAGGTGTATAAAGAGTAGACTTAATCCAGGCTGGATATTGTAGGGAGCCAGGGAGTTGAGGGGGGAGGGTTCCGGAGGGTCGGGGATGTGAGACCAAGGATGAAGACAGTCGTTCTGACACCTGCATCCATGAATGCCACCTGCAGACCAGCGTTTCAGGTCTAATACTCAGGCTATCACCTGTACCTACAGATGTGGGGTCACCATCCCTGTTAGAGATGAAAAGGAACATGCAGGTGACTTGCCTAAGGTCTTGTAGCTAGAGAGTGACAGAAGACGACCTCCATGTCTGACAGTCATGTATCCTGCAGTTTCAAGGACAAAGGAGTCCCAAGTAACAAAATCTTGCCAAGGTCAAGGGAAAGCAAATGATGCAGCCAGGAAAGCTGAAATCAAAGAGAGCCAGGGATCAGTGAGTGAGTCACGTGTCCCTGGCTGGCCGCCGTGCCTATGGGAGAGTGGCCCTTTAAGAACCCAGGTGTGGGTCATGCCCTGAGCAGAGTTTCAGTTTTGGCAGCAGCATCCAGTGCCCAGCCGGCAGCTTCCAGAGACACCGGGGTTCCAGGCTGGGCAGCAGGCTGTGCCCCCGGAACCAACAAGCAGGAGAGAAAGAGGTGGCTGAACGTAAGTGTGGCTGATCGGGACTCCCTGGGCAGAGGCTAGCTGGGGAGGGTCCAGGATGGCAGCTCGAGAAAGCCCCTCTATTCACAGCTCCCAGCCTCCCAGAGAGCGAGGTGAGAGGAACAGGACAGGTGGGCCGGGGACCGCGCGTGCTGGGGAACACGGGTGCGTTCGCTGTGGAATGAGTTATGGGTGCGTGTGCATGCAGCATCCTGCCCTGCCAGGTGTGCATGGCTCACCCACAGCCAAGATGCACAGCAGCTTGCTAAGCTCAGGTCCTGCGTTACCTAACTTCTCCACAGGTTATGAGCTGTGAGTCCTTCAGCAAGCTACCTAGCCTCTCTGAACCTTCGTTTTTCAATCTGTAAAATGGAAATATAGATCATATCTCTCGCTCAGGGCCGATGTTTGTTCAACGAGAAAACGGGTGTGAAATGACTCTCCAGGGTCTGAGTAGCCAGAGTTTGTTCTTTTTCTATTCTGTTCAGTTACTCAGGACCCACAGGCCAGACACTGGCTGGACAATGGACAGCAAGTGTTGACGTGGAACAACTTCTCTCCCGTGTCTGACACTTTCCATTCCCCTGCAGCCTTCTGGGGGGAGGGGACCAGGATCAGCCCCTTTCCCTGGGCTTCTAACATAGAGCCTGTGCAGCCCTCTCTAAGTTCTGCACAGTGTGGCACCAGCTGATGCCAGACATCTGAGACTCTTCCTAGCACTCTGCCCTTGCTGTGAGCCCAGTGGGAAAAATGAAGCCCTTGCAGGAAAACTGAGTCAGGGCCCAGCCACAATCCAGGCCGGGCTGCTGCCTCAAGTCCTCAAACTCCTCCTGGCCTTGTAGCCCCCTCACTCTGAGTCTGTACTGACAGCATCCCAAGCCAGGAGGGCTGGTACAACGGCAAGCCAAGTTCCAACCCCAGTCCCAGTTTCCTTTGTTCATCTGCTACCTATGTCTGGGGTCGTGTGAGCTGCTCACTTTACACACCACAGCCCTTGCTCCGCCTTCTTCTTACTGAGGGTCTGACATTTTCTTTAGCGTCTGCAGGGGCTGTGCTGGTTGCGTAGAAGAGAATTGCTCTCTGGTGTCTAGTAGTTGGAGGGCGGTGTGGGGTGTTCTGCCCAGAATCGCACCTGCATCTGTCCATCCTTTTCCCTGCACCAGGATGCAGCGGTGTTCAGAGATGTCAGCCAGGAACCAGGAGAGTGGTGATTTCTGTGCTCATTGCCTGCTTTTTTGCTTTGCTGAGTCTTGGTGGTTTTGGCTTAAAAGAAGTGAAATTGCCTTTGATATCCATTTAGGAAATCCACTTGGCCCTAGCCTTCACGGCTTCATTCCATTCCCTCCCAAAACATACCTGGGAGGTAGGCAGAACGCGATTTCAATTCCAGTTTACAGCTGAGGAAATGGAGACTCTAGGAGTTAATACAAGTGGCCTGAGTTCGCCTGGTCGAGTGACCGACATTTTGATATGACCATTTTGATACAGTCTTAAGGACATTAGGATAGGCCCTCATAGACAAACTAGCTCATTAAAAATTATTACAGGTTGAACATTTCTTTTTTTTTTTAAATATTTATTTGTTTTAATTGGAAAGTCAGATATACAGAAAGGAGAGACAGAAAGATCTTTCGTCCACCGGTTCACTCCCTAAGTTCCCACAACAGCCAGAGCTGAGCTGATCTGAAGCCAGGTGCCTCTTCCTGGTCTCCCACATGGGTACAGGGTCTCAAGATCCTGGACTGTCCTTCAACTGCTTTCCCAGGCCACAAGCATGAGACTGGATGGGAAGTAGAGCAGCCAGGAGAAGAACCTGTGCCCATGTGGGATCCTGGCACGCACAAGGCGGGGACTTTAGCCACTAGGCTACTGCGCTGAGTCCAAGGTTGTACATTTCTAACCTAAAAATCCAAAATGCTCCAAAATGCAACATTTATATACATCAATTTAGTGAGGCCACAATGGAAAAATTCCATCCTTGACTTCATACGATAGATCATGGTCAAAATGCAGGCGCACCAAAAATGTCATAGTTCTCCATGCTCTGTGTATAAGGTATGTGTGAGGCATAAACGAATTTTGGGTTTACTCTTAGGCGCCACCCTTGCGGTATTGTATCACAAATATGCAAATATCCTAAATTAACAAAAATCCAAAATACTCCTGTCCCAAGCGTTTTGACTAAGAGGTGTTTAGTCTGCCATTATATGGTGCTCAGCAGAGCTTCATGCACATCTTAGACGCTCTCTGGTGGGCTGGGTTGGACACCAGCACTGTCAGCACTGAAATATTACAGAGTACTAAGAAGTTTTGATATCAGTACACTTTTGATCATTTGAAAAAATGTATTTATTTATTTTTTAAATCATTTGAAAGGCACAGAGACAAAAAGGGAAGAGGAGAGCTGGTTTGCTTCCCCAGAGCGTGCAGCAGTGAGGGCTAGGTCAGGCCAAAGCCAAGAGCCAGAATCTCCATTTGGATCTCCCCTGTGGGCAATAGGAACCCACCTACTTGAGCCATCAGCTGCTGGTCCCAAGGTGTGCATTAGCAGGAAGCTGGAACAGAGTGATACTCTGCTCTAGCGTATGAGGGTCCCCAGAGGCACCTGCTTAGAGGAAGTCCATGTGACATTCCTGACACATGATGGGTGCTAAATAGGCAGCAACTAGAATTTTCTAGAAGGAAATTTCCCTATTGGCACCTACCCCCATGTCTAGATATCTTCCCAGGAACTTCGTTTCCTGGGAAAGGTGGAGACAGAAAGTAAACTGACCCTCTCCTCTCAGATGAAACATCCTGAGGTCCTCTTCTGACTGTTCCTTGTCAACAGTGAGACCCTCAAGGTGTGGCATAGGGACAAAGAGCCTGTGCCCTGGTTCCAGAGCGCTCCAACTATGAAATCTTGGGCGACTTTCTATCCTCTCTGTGCCTCCAAGGTGTCATCTGTAAAATGGGCTTGACCATTTTATCCCACCTCCTAGGATGGCTATGAGAAATTAATGAGCTCATGCATGCAAAACCTTTGGAAAGACCTTAATTTGTGTTCTCCTAACCTAGCCCATGGTGTGGCCTTTCTCTGTCAGTCATGTGAGCCCAATCCAAAGAGTTCACTTCAAGACTTGCAAGAAGGCCCAGCACACAGGTTTGCACTCTCCTCGTACGCGCTGGCAGGACACAAGAGAAAACTGTTGTTCTTTGGGGGGATTTAGCATGTACCAGGCATGTCACCAAATGAAGGGCTTCACCCGGCTATTTCTTTTCATCCTTCTAGCGATGCTCTGGGCCAGGGACAATGATCTAAAAAATAACAGTGACCAAGTTAGAGAGCAGAGGGCCAGGCCAAGGAGTCCATGCTTCATGCCACACTCAGCCAAACATTCATCTGCTGTGAAAGCTGGGGGCCTGGACCCTCCAGCCCTGTCCTGTGTGGAGTCATCATCTTTCCCTAGCATTTGAACTCTCCTTGTAACCTGAGGCAGAGCAGCACATGGGGGCCTGGATTCTCTTTAATTCCTGAGGCAACTGCGTCCAAGTTCATTCTCATCTGGCTCTTGGTGCCTCTGCCCATGAGAGATGAGAATGAGACATCCAGATGGACTCCAGCAACTAGGGAAGGAGCTGCTCGGTTCAGACTGCTGCGATCCGCTGCTCCAGCCAGCTCAGCCACCCCCACACCTCAAAAATGCCCAGTTCACATTCATAGCAGATCAGAAACAGCCAGCAGGGCTTCAAGCACCACTAGGACATGTTCACAGTCCACTCTGAAATCCCAGAGCTGTGAGGGTCCCAGCCAATGCTCTCTTAGGACTTCACAGACTAAAATTCTAGAATGGCTGCGGGACAGCCAGGTGGGCCATGTGGTCCACCTGAAGGTTGGAGGGGACTGGGTCCAGGAGATTCTCTCAGAGCAGGGATGAAGGAGCCGCTAGCTATAGCTTTGGGGGAAGAAGAGCTTCTTATGCATCAGTGTGAGCACTCTCCCTTGAGCAGCCCCTGCCCTGGGCCCTGCAGGGTGACCTCCATCACATGTGTCCTTCCAGCTGTGCGTGTCTGATGCTCTCACCCCTGGCTCCAGACTGTGCAGAGGTAATGGGTGCAGATGCATATCCTCCATCTCCGTGGACACAACCAGCCACCCAAAAATGATACAGAATGAGGAATCCTGGCCCACAGGCTTTCTGAGAAGTCAGCTGGCCCTGTGTCCCAATGAGGTCACTTCACCAGCTCGGGAAAGGCTTATGCCCACTGTTCAGCCCACTGGCAGACCCACTCTTGGGTCTGCAGGTGAGGACAGGTATGAGAAACAGGGACAGCTGAAGCTGGAAGGTTGGGCTCCTCACAGCACATGGCACATTGTCCCCTGACCCCTGACCACTTCCAGGCCCAGAACAAATGCCAGCTAAAGATCCCCAAGACTCTGCCCCGAGCCTGTCCTAGTTGTTTCAGGACAAACCTTCCCCTGTCCAGCTAGGAGTATCCCCCACTGTGGCCCACAGGATGCTTAAGTGCTCCCCTGAGCACATCCCCAGCAGGACTAACTCTGGCATCTAGTTGAGGCCTTGCTTCAGGATGTTTCCCCTCATCCTGGTGTGCAAAGGAGACCCAAGGAGGTCTCAGCAGCCACCTGACATGCTCACCTCCCCACACACACCTCCCCTTTTCTCTTCCAAGAACTGAAAAACAGAACACCTTTATCTCCACCCGGAACTAAAAGGGTTCCTTGCTGGGAAATTCCCCTGCAGAAAAGAAATAACCAAGATAAACAACTCTATTGCCTTTGGCTCAAAGCAGAGAGGGAGCCTCTGGGCGCTGGAGGGAACAGAGCCAAGGCGGGAGGAAGATAGAGCCTGGGCTCCCTCCTGCCTGCAGCTACCTTATCTTTATGGGCAGCACATTGCTGCCTATGGCTTATAATCTTTGCTTTCTCCTTTAACACTCTTTTGTCAAGTCCATTCCAAAGGTTGAAGTCCATCAAGTGGGGACTCCTCTGCCCTCTTCTAGCTTGTGATCTGGGGCTTGAGGGCACCTAGAGTTAGGGCAGTGCCCTGGGACCTTCAACCCTCCCTGGGTTATGTCCATGGTAGATACAAAGTCCACCAGGGCTGCCCTTGCTGAAGGCTCTTATCTGATTCTACATCTAAGCCTACCAGAACTCCCAAGGCAGATGACCAAGATCATAACAGCTGAGTTTTCAATCCTCCTCTCCTCACCTCACAACTGAGTCACTGAGAAACCCTGGACCTATCATTCAGCATCTCAAGACATCAGTTTTCTTACCCATATGCTTCTGGGATTCTATCTCTCCATCTGATTTCGAGGGAAGCTATGGTTCAAATGAAATCAAGCCCCATGGTAGTTCTCTGGTAAGCAATGGAGGCTCTCCTGGTAGCCAGAATCAGCATAGAGATAAGTATCCTGCTGCATTTGCAACAGGACACTGAGCAGTGATAGGCTAAGAATGTGGACCCTGAGGTCAGACAAAGCTGGCTTCAATTACCCCCTCTAACTCCATTCACACACTCTTAACCTCTATGTGGCCTTGAGTAAATAGTTAATCTTTACTCTTCCATTTTCTCCATGCAGAAGGTAGATAAAACTACTTCCTTTATGGGGTTGATCAATTTTAAGGAGGTAACACATGTAAAATACTCAGTAAGGTGCTAGAAGCATGGTAAGAGAACCATCGATAGTTGATATGACCATTTTAATTATATTTACAATTTTAGTAACGCTTAGACCTCCTCTGTCAGTCTTGCTGACTTCATCTGATGCCAATCCAACATTCACTTCCCAGAGATGTAGGAAGGGCAGCTGCAACAGAATGATTGTAATCAATTTAATGGCAGCAATCAATGTAATCAATCACCCAGAGAGCCATTCCTGAGATTGGGCAGTGTGCCCAGAACTGGGCCTCCTGGATAAGGATGCAGAAAAAAATAGCCTTGATATTCATTTCAATACTAAAGGAACAGGAAGCTTAGTTAATCAAGAAAAACAACATATAACTGTGGAGGAACAATAGGTGTTGCAGGATGATGGAACTTGCAGCTGCTTTGAGAAAGGTGGAACCATTTTTTCTTTCAATAGGATTTATACCAATCGCAGGAGATAGAAAGCAAAATGGGGATTTCAGAAACTAAAAAATCAGCTAGCCTTCGCAGGTCACGGAGCTTCAGCTCCTTGTGATTATTGTCTTCCAGAGACTCACCACAGAAGTCAGCCTGGGCGGTCCAGCCCCCTCAGGAGCCACCAGCCATGACACCCCTCTGGTTCACTTGCCTGCTGGCTCTCTTTTCAGGTATGTGTGTTTCCTGGCCTCAGCTCCACAGTGCCAACCACCCCTGCCCCTTGCTGCCTCCTGGCTTCATCCAGCCCCCATCCAAGCAGAATCCAGTTTCCCGGGGCACTGAGATCAGAATCCTGCCCTGGGATGCTCCCACAGCTATGCGCCCTTGAGGAGTCCCACAGAGATGAGGCATGGAAGGCTGTGTCTTAAAACAAACTGGTGAGCACCAGAGCCAGAGGCAGGAATGGCAATTCCTGGTTTCACGGACAGGGTCAGCTGTGGAGTTTTCTCTATGACTTGCTATGGGATTCGGGGCAATCTATTATCCTTCATGACTCAATGTTTTTGTCTAAAAACAAACTGTCCAAGAAGTGTTTCAGAAATGCATGGAAATGACTGCAAATGTAAATGTATAACATCCTATGAAAGTGATACCATATACACTACACTCACATATATATATACATATACATAAAGCTTTATATGTATATAAAGTTTGTCACCCAGTCCCTATGAGTTGTCACAAGACCACAATAACAACGAAGCCAGGTTTGCACCCAAATGTGGCAACCACCCAGCGGCAGCTCACAGTAGGTGGTTCACCAAGAGTACACTTGTTAGGTAACCAATTGCTTCTCCTTAGCCTCAGCTTTCTGGAGCCCAAAGACCTCAGAAAGCTCTATCTTCCATTCTCACAGTGGTCACTGCACACAGCTCCATATTTGGTCCTGAGGAGATAACTGTTTTGGAAGGCAGCCCCGTGTCCATCAAGTGCTTCTACCCAAACTCCTCAGTCAACCGGCACAGCCGGAAGTTCTGGTGCCAGCCAGATAAAACTGGCCGCTGCATGACCCTCATCTCCACCGACTTCATCTCTGCGGCATACAAGGGCAAAGCCAAGCTCACCGACTTCCCAGAGGAGAACTCCTTTGTGGTGGAGATTGATAAAGTCAACCAGGACGACACCGGGAGTTACAAGTGTGGCGTGGGAGTCAACGACCGAGGCCTGGACTTTACTGTGAGCCTGCATGTCAACAAGGGTAAGCAGCCAGCCCTCAGGGCCTCCAGGGGAAAGCTAGGCAGTGAGCAGAGGAAGAGCTTCCAGATAGGGAAGGGTATCCTGGCTCAGGGTCAGAAGATTCCTCTTTTGCAAGGCAAAAGTTTTTCTTTAAAAAAAAATTTTTTTAAACAAAGACTTATTTATGCATTTGAAAGGTAAGGAGTGAGAGATCTTCCTTCCAATGATTCACTCCCCAAATGGCCTCAGCAAGGAGCTTCTTCTGGGTCTCCCAGTGGGGCTAAGCACTTAGGCCATCCTCTGCTGCTTTCCCAGGCACATTAGTAGGAAGGTGGATCAGAAGTGGAACAGCTAGGACTTGAACTGGCACCCACATTTGATACTGGCACAGCACGTAGCAGCATTACCAGCCATGCCAAAGCACCAGACCCAGGCAAAGACTTTTCATGGTAGAACATGGGAACCAGACAGATGAGACATGCCTGGGGCAGTGGGTGAGCCCTGGAAGGTCTTCCAGGCTTGCAAAATTCTAGAACTCACTGAGGCCCTGGCTTAGACGGGCGCCAGGAAGACAATATCTGTTGCCTTGTTGAGACGGGACAGATTGCTAGGGTGCCTTGCAGTCCTGTTTCTAAGACACCTTCTACATCAAAGCCTTGGGTCATCAGCAGGATTCTTTTAGGATGCCTTATTTTAAACCAACACTCCTCACATAAATCAGATTCTCAGCGCTGGACCCAACACCAGGGTCCTGATGATTGGGTCATTGTACAAGCCTACTAAGAGAAACAGAAAAGAAGAAAAGCTCATTCCGGTAGAATTTACCAAGGAGAACATGTTAGATGTCACAGGCAATGAGGAAAGCATTCTTAAGGAAAGCGTTTTGCCCAATTTTTTTCTGTCTGTTTTAACATGTGTTCATTTGAGCACCTCCTGCCCGTAGGCACCGTGCCGACTATGGCAAGGCAAGCATGAGAAAAAACATCTCGGAGCCCCAGTCCATGGGAACATAAAAGACTCCCTCCCAGGTTAGCTGTGCTCAGAGAGGCAGAGCTAGGTATCAAGGGGTCATCGAGGAGAGAGATTCGTGCAAGCTGGGGTAGGCTTCATGAAGAAGACAGCAGTGCAGCCAGACCTTGGCAGTGAAGGGAGAGACTCTTCCCAGCATGCAGATCGTGGCCCGCATCTCTAACAAAGGTTAAAGAGAAAAGCATAATAAGGTTTTACACGCACCACTCTTCCAAAGATATGGCCCCAGAGATCTGACTGAGTGCTTGGGTTCAATGAAGTAGGGATGATCACATAGAAGGGATATTGGATGCAAAGGGTGTGACCCTGGAAATAGGTGGGATGGGGGACCCAATGAGGCTGTCTGCTCAGGGTCTTCTGAGTTCTTCCACTGGAGCAGGACCCTTTGGGTCTTAATTTCTTGGTGGCCAGCTGTTACACAGAGGTGTGGAGGTAGAGGGTTAGAGTCCTTTACGGTTTTGTGGCTGGCTTGGGAGGAAGGGCACTCTAGATTTTGGGACACACCCAAAATCTGCCCTAGATCAGAATGAGGAGTGAGAGACCTTGCTCCTGAGGCCTCCACTTCTGGGGAACTGTCCTCTGAACCCCAACAGATACATTCTCAGAGCACACCAGACGGGAGGGGAAGTAAGGCATTCCAGCCACAGGCCTGGGGAGAGCAGCTAACCTGTGATGCAAGAAAGAGGAATCACAACTTGTTTCCACCTCTCGTCCTACAGATCCTGGACCGGATTTTTATTCAGCAGACATAAGTGGAGAAGTGACCGTCACCTGCACTTTCACACCTGAGACTAGGGGGAAAAAGAAAACCTTTTACAAGTGGATTGAAGGGAATCGCGTACCAATCATTGATACTGATGGTAAAGTGGACTCAGGCTATACTGGTCGCATTACGCTGAACATCGAAAGCACTACAGCCCTAGAATTCACAGTCACCATCATCAGACTGAAGGTCAGTGACACTGGGATTTATGTCTGTGAGAGTGGGAATCAAGAACACGATGTTGAACTGCGAGTGAGCGTTTCGGATCCTGTGCTGCTCTACGGAAATCAGAAGAGCTCGGTGATCTTTGACTGTGACCTGAACACGAGTAAGAAAACTGTGCCTGTGTTCCTGTGCCACGTGAAGAATGAGACCACCTGTGAGGTGGTCGTCAACAGCCTGGGGGAGGTAAACCCAGACTTTAAGGGCAGAGTCTGGCTCAAGTCCAGGAATGAGGGAAGCTTCAAAGTGGTGGTCGCAGGCCTGAAGAAGGAGGACTCAGGAGACTACCTGTGTGGATTGCACCCGACAGGTGCACCCACAGCAGGCGGTTGGCCTGTCCAGTATTGGAGACTCTTCGTCAATGAAGGTGAGAAGCCCAGAGCGGGCTGGGAAGGGGTGGGGCAGTCTGGTAGGGGGGCACCTGACTTAGCGGCGTTCATCAGCCAGGTCCTGTCCTCCTACTAATGAGCCTTCTGCATCCGGGAGAGCGAGCAGACTCAGTCTCTGCCTCTGTTCCTGGTTGTTCTCCTTCCCAGTACATCATATCCCTGCTAAGAAGGAATAAGGAGGGGCGGGAAGGTGGCATAGTAGGTGAAGCCTCAGATTGGGACACCTGCATCCCACATCGGAGTGGCTGGGCTCAAGTCCTGCCTCCACTTCGAATCCAGTTTCTTGCTAATGAGCTTGGGAGGCAGCTGATGGTGGCCCAAGAACTTGGGTTCCTACCACCCACACAGAAGGTCAGGATGGAGTTCTCAACTCCTGACTTTGCTATTGTGGGCATTTGGGGAGTGGACCAACAGAGCAGGATTCTCCCGGGACCTCAGTTTAGCTACTTGATTGATTGTCTTACGTGGTTAGCCTATCTGTGTGGCACAACCTGTGTTTTGAACCCCACCATTCTAAACACACTTTCTTCATTGGGATGCCATGGGCTGGGATGAGCCAAGGCAGATAAAAACTTACACAAAGGGAGAGTTTGTAAGAAGCCAAAGGAAAGGGGCTAACACTCTTCTTTGAACTTTTGTTCTCCTTTTGGAATAAAGTGTGGCAGAGTGGGGTAGGAATTCTGGCTCAGTGTCAAGCTGCCATCTGCAGTGATGGTATTCCCATACAGAAGTGCTGATTTGAGTCCCAGCTGCTCCACTTTTGTTCCAGCTCCACGTTAGCGAATCTAGGAAGGCACCAAAAGATGGCCCAAAGGTTTGGGCACCCGCCACCACATGGGAGACTCTGACTGAGCTCCTGGCTTTGGCACAGCCCAGCCCTGTTCATTGCATTCCCTGGAGAGTGAAGCTATGGATGGAAGATCTGTTGCTCTCTCTCTCTGTGTCACTCTGCCTGTAAATACATAAAACAAATCTTTTTTAAAAAAGTAGGGAGGAGACAACACAATATCCAGTCAGATTGGCAGTGGGGGTCCCTGGGGTGTGGTCCCTGAGGTTGTGACATGGAGGTCTTGAGGGTGCAGTGAGAGACCTCAGCTTCACCTCTCACTGCCTGAGACCCTGGGGAGAAAGGCTGCTGAACCCCCAAGGCTACTGCATGTGGCTCTCCTCCCACACGTCTCCATCTGTGCCTGCAGAGATCCCCAAGACCCAGATCTCCACTGTGGTGAAGGGCGTGCCTGGAGGCTCAGTGACCATCCGCTGCCCCCACAACAATGAAAATGACCACAAGTACCTGTGTCTCTGGGGAAAAGATGGCCAGAGCTGCCAGCCACTGGTGGATAACGAGGAGGAGGTAGAGGAAGAGTATGAGGGTCGGCTGCGCCTGATCCAGGAGCCAGGCAATGGCATCTTCACCGTCATCATCACCAAGCTCACTGAAAAGGACAACGGCTTCTATTGGTGTGCGGCTGAAGATGTAAACCCTTTGTACACTCCGGTGAAAGTCCAGGTTGTGAAAGGTAAGAGCTTAAGACCTGGGACCAGAAAGGAGCAAGCCCCAGTGCTGTGCAGCCTGTACCCCCACCCCAGCCATCATCCTCCTGCCTCTCCTACCCCCAATGGGACACCCTCAGGAGACAGCCCCCAGTCCCAGCCACATGTCCAGACCTGTCCAAGCAGCTCCCTCCCCCAGTTACCATGGCTGGCACTTCCTGCTGTCTGGTCTACCGTCTACAGAACCCTGTGGCAGCTCAAGTACCAATTTCTGTTCCTCTGTCTTCCTCCTCCCAACTCCAGGAAAACCAGGCCTCACGGTGGTCAGTGAAAGTTCAGGGGACACTGTCACACTCAGCTGCAAGTTCCCCTGCAAGTACTACTCCTACGAGAAGTACTGGTGCAAGTGGAGCAGTCAGGACTGCGAGGCCCTGCCCACCCAGGAGGAAGATGCCAGCGATGACGTTGTGAACTGCCGCCTGATCAGCAAGGTCCTCTCTGTGAACGCGAGTGACAATGGCTGGTACTGGTGTGGAGTGAAGCAGGACCAAAACTACGGAGAGGCCTTGGCAGTCCACGTGCCACTGGAGGCAACAGTGGAGGACACAGTGAAGGGTGAGTCCCCGGGGGTGGAGCCTGCACCCCAGAACCCCAGAGGCAGGGCTCTTCCAAAGCTCCCAACAGCTTCTTGCCCAGGGGCAGCTCTGAGGTTTGGCTGTAGGAGCTTGCATGAAAGCCTCTTTGCAAAATGTCACAGGACATGCTTTATTCCTCATGCAGCTATTTCTAACAGATAACAAGCCAGTAAAGGGCCCATCCTGAAGGTACACCAGGGGGCAGCACTGTCCCATAAAGCCCTGCACTTGGGCCCAAAGCTGTGAAAAATCTGATGCTGGGAGCCCACCCCAGTGCACAGCTGGATCTCCGGCAGGGAGCCTTGACGCCGGAAATGAGATAGATAGCAAAGGGGCAGAGGACACGTGTGACAAGGTGACCATGCCTATCGTTTCCCAGGTCATCCCAGATCCCAACTCAATACCTGGAGGTCTCCCCCACCCTGACCCCAACTCAGTGCTCATTCCCACAGACCTCAGTGAGGAAGGATAAGGACCAAAGTACAGCCAACCCCCTCTCTTCTGCCCCAGTGTCCCAGCCTAAGGCCAAAGCAGAGCCCCTTCCTGCTGAAGAGAAGGTGGAGCCCGTCGTCAAGGAGGTGGACAGCAAGGTCCTCGTCAAGGAGGTGGACAGCAAGGTCCTTGCCAAGGAGGTGGACAGCAAGGTCCTTGTCAAGGAGGTGGACAGCAAAGTCCTTGCCAAGGAGGTGGACAGCAAGGTCGTCAACAATCAAGTTGTTGCCAACCCCAAACTCCTTGCCGAGGAGGCTGTGGTGGAGAGCGCTGGAGACCCAGCCAGTGGAAGCAGGGCCTCTGTGGAGAGCAGCAGGTGAGTGGCGATGTTGGGGGTCCTCACTCAGGGAACGCCCCAGACACCAGCAGCCTGAGGATGAGCCTCCAAGGCCAAGAGGAAGTGACCGGGGCTGTCACTGTGTACCCTTGGGAGGGTTCCACGGTGCCCCTGCTCAGGCCTGGGAGACAGACCAGACCCAGCCCTTGCCAGCACCCTGCCTGGAAAGGCTTCTCAGAGGGACAGACTAGGGAGCTACATGAGTGCTCTAGGTGGGTCAGCAAGCCATGGCCCAGCAGACAACACATTCTGGGCCCCCGGGGTCTCCCTAATGGGGATTAACAAACGTCTTCCTTCTTCCAGCGCCCAGGGACAAAGTGGGACCAGCAAAGTGCTGCTATCCACCCTGGTGCCTCTGGGCCTGGTGCTGGCAGTTGGGGCCATGGCCGTGGCCGTGGCCAGAGCCCGGCACAGGAGGAACGTGGGTGAGTACCCCTGCGGGCCCCTGGCCCCACATCATCCTTGCATAGCTGCCCTTCCTCTTCATGGACATAAAAGATTATGGGAAAGATAACTCCCCTATCCTCCCAACACATACACAGACACACACACACACACACACACACACACACACACACACACACGTGTTCACATGGCATATTCAGCACAGTAGTTCAGATTCAGGATCTGGGCACATCTCAGGACCCTGTCCCAGTGTCCCCAGTGGTTCAGGGCAAGGGTATCCATTCCCAGAGCTGATTGAGGACAGTGTCAAGTGAATGGACTGGCTGGTTACACAGCGGCTAGTAAGGGTGGAACACCAAGGCATTGTTTGTCATGGAGAGAGTCTGGGAGGAGACTCCACTTCGGGTCCCAGTCAGAGCAGAGTTCCCAGGAACCCCGCCTGTCCAGCTGTCCTGTGGGCCCAACATCATCGATCTGCAGGCTGCTCAGCCCTAACCCCAGCCCCACGCTTACACCCTGTGTCCTCTTTTTCTCACGGGCAGACCGAGTATCCATTGGAAGCTACAGGACAGACATCAGCATGTCAGACTTGGCGGGATCCAGGGACTTTGGAGCCATCGAAAATCCAGCCGCCTGCCCTGAGGCCCGAGAGACGTCCCTTGAAGGGAAGGATGGTAAGTCCTTTCCCAGGAGATGACCCCAGCCCTTGGGAGAGCCAGAACTGGACCTGGCTCCACATCTGGGGTGGGAAACAGGAGGTAGGTAGAGCCTCACCCTTGCCCTTCTCTGCACACAGAGATTACAATCACCACCGAGAGCACCGTGGAGATCCAGGAACCCAAGAAAGCCAAGAGGGTGAGGAGGAAGAGGGGGCAGGAGAGGGTGGCAGGCAGGTGTTGGGGAACACACACTGAACCTGAGTGGGGCGGATGGAGTGGAACCCAGGTGGACTCTTGAGGGAGAACTGGATGCTCCTTGCCGGGCAGTGTTGCTGAGGCTGGGGCTGAGCAGTGTTTGCAGGCTGCCCACCTGCAGAGGGCAAGTCGACTAGGAGCAGAGGAAGGCAGGAGCATGGAAGAGCTCAAGTCCAGCACAAGAGTGAAGTAGACACTAGGTCGTCCTGCACTAGAGGCCTTGTGGCTGCAGATTACCCAGCCTCCCGATGGCATGCTTAGGACCAGGAGGCACCAGACCTTCCTGCCCACTTCAACAAGCTCTTGAAACCCCGCCAGAAACAACCTCTGCCTTTCGCTCCATATTCCCAATCCCTCAGACCTGGCTCATGGGCCTTAGGGAGAGACATGGAGGATTTTTCTCCTACCTGCCTACTCTCCCTCCAGCAGCCCCAGTACTGGGAGCACACAAGGAGTTTATCCTAGAATCGGCTGCCTCTCTAGCCTAATGATGCTGAAATGCAGCCCCCCTGGGCCAACAGAGAAGGAAAGCCATGGCCACCCTCCCCCTCCAGCCCCAGGCATTATGACCTTGCCCGTGGCTTGTGCAGGCCCAGCTTCCGGGGACAGGCCCAGGCAGCAGAGATGGTTCCACTCCACCGTGTCGGAAGGAGGTAGTGAGACAGGGGCAGATATTTTTAGCGGCTGCAACTTTCCATTTCTCAAAATTAGTCCCCGTTTGGTGAGCAAGGGCACTGGAATGAGGGCTGTGGGTCACGCAAGCTGGGGTTGCCTGGGCCAGAACCCCAAGTTCGCGTCCCTGAGCACTGCTTACTCCTCCCCGGTTGTCTCCTCAGTCATCCAAGGAGGAAGCTGATATGGCCTACTCCGCCTTCCTGCTCCAGTCCAGCGCCATGGCGACCGAGCACCAGGACGACCCCAAAGAGCCCTAGGCACCTCCAGCTGCTGCCCCCTCCACCTGCAACAATCCCCTTCAGAATCATGTTGATCCTTGGGGTCCCCAGAGTCAAGATGGGGGCTCAACTGCCTGCACTCCCTGCACCCGCACTACCCAAGCTTCCCTACCTGTCCCCAGAAGTGTGCTGGCCCCTCCTCAGCAGCATCAGCACTTGGTTCACCGTTTTGTTGGGGTCTGGAGTGTGAGGAGTTTCCAATGACAGCATATTCCTCCAAGGTGTTGGCAGAAAGGAAGGGAGGACTTCCAAAGGAAGACAGGTCACCCAGTGCAGCAAGGGGAGGCGTTGCCAGCTTCCCTTTGCCCTTGATGGGTGCTCAGGGCCACTTTCCCACCACCTCCTCCCTTACTGCTTCCCTCCTCATTCTTTCCTTCTGTGGAAAGTCACAGGTGGGGGAGCTGACCAGGTTCCAGGCCCCATCTGGACGGGGGCAGGGAAGGGCCACACACCTGCTCACAGCCTTTCTGTAGACTTGGCAAATGGTGACTGAAGGCTCATAGCCCCCCACAGGGAAAGGGGATCCCTCTGTTTCTTTCACTCTTGTGGTCCTAAGATGTCTTGGGTTTGAAGTGTTCCAGGTGGAAGGAAGGACAATGCTTGCCAGTGCCAGGGAGGGGTGTATCCGCAAACGACTAAAGTTGAAGGTCTTTGTCCCCCTGAGCTCTGTACTTTCACCAGCACCTGTGGTCTGATCCTTGCTAACAAATCAGAAACACAATTTAATCATTAAAGATTGATTGCCACCCAGTAGGCTCAGCTGCCTTTGGCTCTTGCATCCGTCGTTTCCCAGACAACAACCTTTTTGGAACCTTCTGCTCTGGCCCCAATTTTTAAGCACCTCAGGACGTGTCTCTACACCAAACCTCTCCCACCTCCAAGCCTGACCCAAGCCAGGGTGAGGATTACCTAAAAACAAGACCAAGATTCTGTGTAACGCAAGACTGACCCTGTGCCCCACCATACCCAAGACTTCCCCAGCTCCTCAGCACAGGGAACAAGACCATGTCCCTTCTCTAGGACACTGAGCAAAGCATCTTGGTCAAGCACCCAGGGATGTTTGTTCTTAAGTTTCACATTTCCTGGGATTAAGTTTCACATTTCCTGGGATCTCTCAAGGCAAGACCAAGATGATGCTAATCAAATCTAGGCTCATATGAATGTGCCCTTTCCACAGGGTGTTCAGTTGGGAGCTGGTTTGGGAGTAGCTTAGAGTTTGCAAGAGCTATTTCTTGGCCTTTTGGCTAAGATCAAGCGTAGAGCTTGCAAGAGCTAATCTAAAGTCTCTTTCAGTGCCCAGTAGCTAAATCAAGGATCCACCCATTTCTAGGTTCCACCCTAAACAATGTCGTGTCCCATAGGGAGTGTTCAAATCCTCCCTGGGCAGCTTGCTCCCTACTTCGTCCCTACTCTTGGGGCAACTTCTCCCCATTCTCCTGCTCTGCCCAGTGGGAACCTGTGCTTCCTCCCTGACCCTGACCATAATGCCCTGGCTGCTGTTTGCTTTCCATGCCTTCCTTGCTGGGACTCAGATGTCAGTCTTCCACTGGTCCCTGCTTGCCAACCTCAACAATTGTTGTACCCAGACCTAGCTCCAAGACCCCTTCCCAGGCTCAGAGCCTTGAGCACCTGTCCAACCAGTGCAGGTGGCCATCGGAAGTGTTTATCTTTTTCTTCTCCATCTTCTTCAAGGTGGGCATGCATATTCAGCAATTCCTTGTATGGTAGCCAACTGCAAGGTATGACACACACCAGCTCCGACTACACACACACACACACACACACACACACACACACACACACACTGCAGGAAGCTTTCTAACCTACCAAAGGATTAAGCTTTAGTGCTGAAGGTGACACCAGGCAAGCCAATCCTGTCCCACTTCATGGAGTCAAAAGCCAAGAAATGCCACTAACACATGACAGCAGAAATAGCACTGTGCTACCCAAAGTTCACCTGCTCTGTGTGTCTCCCACTGGACGAAGAAATCTCATGAGGAAGGAAGATGGAGGGGTCAGCATCGTGGTACAGCTTGTAAAACCGCAACCTGCAAATGCCATCCCATCCCATGTGGGCACTAGTTTGAGTCCCAGCCATTCTATCTTAGATCCAGCTCCTTGCTTATGGCCTGGGAAAGCAGAAGATGGCTCAAATGCCTAGGCCCCTGTACTCACATGGGAAACTCAGAAGAAGGTTCAGGCTCCTGGCTTTAGCCTAGCCCAGCTCTGGCTGTTTCAGCCATCTGGGGAGTGAACCAGCACATGGAAGGTGTGTGTGTGTGTGTGTGTGTGTGTGTGTGTGTGTGTGTGTGTGAGTGTGTGTGTGTGTGTGTGAGAGAGAGATAGAAGAGAGAGAGAGAGGAACTCCATCTTTCAAATAAAATAAATCTTGAAGTAAATAAATTTTTTCCAAAGAAAAACAAGGAAACTAGTGCAGGGTTCCAGGCAGACATCAGTGTGTATATGGCAGGAGGGAGCTGGAGGATGGAGGGGACACTAATCAGCCCAGCTCAGGGACATCAAAGATGATTGAGCAATGACTGGTGCACAGCACACACTCAGGGAACTGAATGTTTGGTGACAAGAAAGAATCCACATTCCATGAATGAGCTCTTGGCATTTCTTCCTTGGAATTCCATCATGCAATGTTACGACTATGCATTACTGAGGCCCAAAGGGTCTTAGAAACCTGTTTGCAGCAGTAGGTTTTGTTTTGTAAAGCTAAAAGAATGCTTTTGATTTGTTCCAGGCATTTCCAAGACACAAGCTCAGGTGTCTCCCAAGAACAGCAGAGAGGACCGAGTGTGCTGTGGCCCACAGAGCCAGGCCCCAGCCAGGGAAACCAGAAGCATGACTTCTCCCTTCCTTGGCCTCCCCAGCCATCAACTGTGCTAGGGAGATGTGACAGGCATCGCAGGACATCTTGAAAAGATGCCACAGCCACGCGAATGCTGGTTGTGTAGGCAAGGTGTCATACTGAGAGCAGTGGCTCCCAGCTGGCCAATGGAGCTGCAGCAGAAAAAGAAAGAAGACCACACAGTCTAGAAGCCAAGCATGTCTGAAGCCTCTCTCCTCAGGTTGATGAGTAGGGCAACCAGTGCTGTGGCTTAGCTGGTGAAACTATTAACTGCACAGCACTGGCAACCCATACGGGCATTAGTTCAGGTCCAAGCTGCTCTACTGATCCAACTTCCTACTAATGGCCTGGGAAAAGCAGCAAAAGATGGCTTGAGTGCGTGCGTCCCTGCTACCCATATGGGAGATCCAGATGGAGCTACTGACTGGCTCTTGGCTTAGCCCTGGATAAGTTTATTGGCCATCATGAACCTCTGCAGCACGAACCAGCACGTCAATATATGTTCTGTCTGTGTGTATATGCATGTGTGTGTGTGTGAGTGTGTATGGTAGAGTGTTCAGAATCCCCAAAAGCAGGCAACTTCAGGACCCCCGAGCCGGATGCTACCATTGTGGCATGAGGCTGGGCGCCCGGCAAGTCCCTCAGATGAGGGGATTCTCCTGGTCTGTGCTTGCTGGAGGAACACTTAAGGGTGCAGTTTCTTCATCTGGAAAGACCCAGGACGTGGTCCTTTGGAGCCTGGCCATGTGGGAGGCTGAGGGGCAGTGATACAAGCACACCACACAGCCTACCCAGCACACACTCACGTGCTAACACCATACACATTGCACAGTCACACACCACACATTCACATCACAGCACATGTTCACACATCATATAACATGCCTCGTCCACTCACAACCACACTGTTCCCCAGCACACACTCACACATCACACACTAACATCATACACATTGCACAGACCCACATCACACACTATACATCACCACTAACAAATCACACACGTTGCTGCACCACACAACATGCCTCAGGCTCTCACAACCACACCGCACTACCCTCCAGTACTCACTCACACATTGACATTGTTCACATTGTAGTCACACTCAGTTGTCTGCACATCCACACACCACTCACACATCACAAACCACTGGTTCACATGTATAGCCACACTCATAACCACAGTCAAATACATACATGTGCATTCCTTCCTTCCTTCATTCATCTTTGCTCTCTTACTCTCTTTCTCTTCCTCTCTACTATCCTCTCCCCATCTCTTGCCCTGGATCTCTAAGCAGAGCCCAGCTGTGGGGCTTTGGAAGGGACCTGTTCAGTAGGGAAGGGAGGGAGCCAACCCCACTGAGAGTAGAGGCAGTCCTCTAATGCCTTGGGTCACTTGCAGGCTGGAGGATATCACAACTACAGCTGTTCAGAAGCCAGTGGCCATTCAGAGAGGGGAGGGTTGGGGGCAGGGCGGGCTCGCTGCCCCCATGCATGTTTCCTCTGCACCTGTTCTGAGTCCCACATTCAACTTCTACCCTGACTTGGTTGTTTTGTGTGTGGGACAGCATGTGCCATCCCTGGCACATGGAGGCAGGTGAGGGTGGCATGTGCTTGACCAGGGCGGCTCTGGCAGCCTCCCTGGGTCCCATGTGAAAACAGTCTGAAACCTCTGTGGGCATAAGAGGATGCTTTGTTTGCAGGCTTGGCCCAGGAACCACCCTCCCAGAAGGAAATATCTAGAACCCAGCCTCTGGTACCTCTGATAGGTAACAGCCCTGCGCACCTCCATGCCACAGGGCTCCTAGAGTTCCACGACTGTCGTAGGTTCTACCGCTACTGGTAGGCAGGCAGGACAGGAGCAGCCCTAGTCTGTCAACAACAAAACCAGGGCCCATGACCAGCAAGGGCCAAGGCCAGGACAAAGCCACGTGTTGCTCTCTGCCCTTAACCCAAAGCTGTTTGCCTAATACCACAAGGCCTTGGCAGTTCCCTCTCTCCCCCACCCCTCAAAGAACACTCTGCAAAGCCACTGTGATTTCAGGCATCACCCCTGTTGTCACTAGACAGGGGAAGGCACTGCCTCATGGGACAGGTGGGTGGAGGGAAGGCTGAGGGATGACCTACGAGGTAAGCCCATCACCAGGAATGATAGGGACCATGCAGTCCCACCTCCATCTATTTGCCATGTGAGAAAAATGAAACGCACAGAGGAGCAAAGAATTGCTGAACCCACACTTAGAATCCCACATAGCAGGTCCAACATTTCCTGGTGATTGGCTATGATGACAGACAGCTTCTGACCTGGGTGTCCATATAGTCTTTAGCAGCTGAGGCAGACTTGGGGTGAAGCTCCTTTATCCTGAAGATAGGAACAAAGCAAAGGACTCCAGCTTGAGAGTCTGCTCTGGGGTAGGCATGTGGCATAGCAGCTACATGATCACTCAGGCTGCCCACAGCTCATGTCAGAGTGCCTGTTCAAGCCCTGTCTCCACTTCTGATGCAGCTCCTTGTCAAGGCTCACTGGACAGCTCAAATACTGAGGTCAATGCCAAGCAGGTGGGAGTTGCTGGTTCCTGGAGGCAGCGTGGCCCAGTCTTGGATGTTGCAGGCATTTGGAGAACGAGCCAGCCAGTGGAAAGATGTGTGTATGTGTGTGTGTGTGTGTGTGTGTGTGTGTGTGTGTGTGTGTGTGTTTGAGACAGAGACTACCTCTCACATAAATGAAAA